AAAGAAATATTTAAACCAGAGCTACAGAAAAAGATCTAACTTTGAAAAGTAACAATAAATTATTTCTTCATGAACATTACAAATATTAACCAGTCTTCACCATGCCAGTACTGCAAAGTCATGATATAAGTCAGTGAAGTCATTTTAAAATTCTTCTCTTGGAAAAGTCAGCTTGAGCTCTTGGTAGAGGATACGAAGTTCAGCCTTGCTTAGAGTAGACAGAGACTTAAGGACTTAGCAGTCTTAAGAGACTTGAGAGAAAAGGACTTCTAGCATGGCATCTGGGCTAATGTTCTTACAGAAGACTGGGGCCTGGCAAAATGTGGAATTGCTCTCTCATTCACTCAGTCAATATTGAGCACTTACTACATGTTAGGCACTGTTCTAAACACTGAGGGTATCGAGGAGTGAAAAACAAAGTTCCTTCCCTTATGGAATATACCAGTGGGGGAGATAAACAGATGAACAAATAATAAATATACATTATGGCAGCTGGTGATGAAATCAGCAGAACAAGGGCTAAAAGGCGTGGGGAGAGGAGAAAGTTACTATTTTTGTACGAAGGTCAAGGAAGGCCTACCTGACGGAAATGTGGGAGCGAGCCATGTGGACGTTTGGAGTGTTCTAGGCGAAGAGAACAGCAAATGCAATGACCCAGAAGCAGAGGCCTCAGTAAGAAGGCCACTTTGGTAGGAGGGAAGTGAGTGACAGAGCTATGCAAGATGAAACCAGATGGGGCAGATGGCAGGGAGTAAGTTTGAAAGCCCCTGGAGGGTTTTGAGCAAAGGAATGTCTCATCAGCTAGGTAGGACGGATTCAGAAGGAGGGAGCCCATTCTCACTCTACCCCACTTTCCACATATGAAGCAGCGAAGAAACCAGGCCTAGAGAGTTAGTTTATTAAAATTGCATGATTAGAAGTGGAAGGGCTCGGCCAAGCATCCAGGTTTCTGGACCCTTTGGTCTCCTTGTTTCCCCTCATTTTTGCCAGGCCCCAGTCTTCTGTAAGAACATTGGCTGGAAGACAGTGGGGTGCAGTTTAAGCTAGCAGACAAAAACAAACTAGTTGCCGTTGAGTCTGTGAACTCATATGTTACAGAGGAGAACTGCTCCAAAGGGTATTGGGTTTCATTTTTTTAAAATTTTATTTATTTTAGTGGCTAAAGCACTTGACTGCTAACCAGAAGGCTGGCGGTTCAAACCCACCAGCCACTCCTCGGAAGGAATCCTACTTCTGTAGTGATACTGCCTTGGAAACCCAAGGAGGGGTCGCTATGAGTCGGGGTCGACTCGACGGCACATAACAACAACATTGTTGTTATTGTTGAGAATATACACAGAAAGACTTAACCCAATTCAGCAGTTTCTCCAGGTACAATCCAGTGACATTGATTTCATTCTTCCAGTTGTTCAACCATTCTCACCCTCCCTTTCTCGGTTATTCCTGCCTCCTTAACATAAATGCACTGCCCCCAAGGGGGAGTTACTATTGTCAGTCTGATCCCATACAGAGAGTTCTTAAAAGAGCGTAACACTCTAGGCAGACTTTAAAAAAAAAGATAAACTATTTTTCAGTTTAAGATAATTTTAGGGGGTATTTTTGGTTTAAGGTTTAAAGATTATCTCAGGGCAATAATTTCAGGGATTCATTCACTCTCTGTGGCTCCAGAGAGTCTGGAATCCATGAATATTTGTCATTGTTATACCTAATCTATCACACAACTTTTGCCAATCCAACTTTTTACAGGTGGACAACTTATTGTCAGCAGTTATGATAATTGGCTATGCAACTCTACCTTCAATCAGTGGGATTCTTCCATCACCATTAACCCCTCTTAACTCCATTTTTCCCCTCCCTCCTGCCTCTGGTAACCATGAATAAACTTTGGTTTCTATATTTGCCTATTCTTGTCTTTTTATATAAGTGGGATCATATAGTATTTGTCCTTTTGTTATTGGCTTATTTCATTCAGAATAATGTCTTCAAGCTCCATCCCCACTGTAACATGTATCAAGACTTCATTTCTCCTGCTGGCTGAGTAGTGTTCTAGTATGTGCTTGTACCACATTTTGTTTATTCATCTGCTGAAGTGTGTTTAGATTGTTCCCACCTGTTGGCTATTGTGAATAGTGCTGCAGTGGACATTGGTGTACTCCTTTTGAGTCTCTGCTTTCAAATCTTCTGGGTGTTTATTAGGAGCGGAATTGCTGGGTCATATGGTAGTTCTATTTTTAGTTTTTTGAGGAACCACTACACTTTTCCACAGTTGCTTTGCCATTTTAAATTGTCAACAACAATGGATAAGGGTATCAATTTCCCACCATCCTCACCAACATTTGTTGTTTTCTATTTATCTGTTTGTTTGTTTGTTTAATTTATTATCTTAGCTGTCCTCAAACCAAAAATCAAACACACTGCCTTCAAGTCAGTTCCCCATTGGGTTTCCAAGGCTGTAAGTCTTTATGGAAGCAGACTGCCCAATCTTTCTTCGGTGGACTGACTGGTGGGTTCGAACAATTGACCTTCTGGTTAGCAGACAAATTCCTTAAACACTACATCACCAGAGCTCTTTTAGCCATCATGGTGAAAGTAAAATATTATCTCATTGTGGTTTTGATTTGCATCTCATTGTTGGTTAATAACACTGAGCATCTTTTCATTTGTTTAGTGTCCATTTGAATGCCATCTTTGGTTAAATGTCTATTCAAGTCTTTACCCATTTTATGATTTGGTTATTTATCTTTTTGTTGTTTCGTTGTTGAAGTTTTATATATATATTGGTTATTAGATTCTTGTCTGATATATGGTTTCCAAAGATATTCTCCCAGTTGGTAGCTTTTTACTATTTTGGTAAAGACGTTTGATGAACAAGTCTTTTTTAATTTTGAGGTTCCACTTATTTATATTGTCTTTTGCTATTGGTGCTTTTGTTATTATATCAGATGGTCCATTGTTAAAAGCTAGGCCTGACAATGTTGCTCCTGCATTTTCTTCTAAGAATTTTATGGTTTTAATTGGCACATTTAGGTCCTTAATCCATTTTGAATTTGTTTTTGTGTGTGGTGTGAGGCACGGTTCCTGTTTCATTTTTCTGCATGTTAAAATCCAATTTTCTCAGCACTATTTATTGAAGAGATTCTTCTTTTCCCATTGAATGGGCTTAACACCCTTGTCAAAAATCACTTGACCATAGATATGTGAGTTATTTCTGGACTCTCAATTCTATTCCACTAGTCATGGACTGCCAGAAGAATGAATAAATCTGTCCTGGAAGAAATGCAGCATGAATGCTCCCTGAAAGCAAAAATGGCCAGACTTCATATTGCCTATTTTGGTTATGTGGTCAGTAGAGACCATTCCCTGGAGAAGGATATCATGCTTGGTAAAGCAGAGGGTCATAGAAAAAGGGGAAGAAGACCCTCAACAGGATGGATTGACATAGTGGATGCCAGCAATGGGCTCAAGCAGAGCAAAGATTATGAGGATGGCGCTGGACCGGACAATGTTTAATTCTGTGGTGCATAGGGTCACTATGCATCAGAGCCAACTCGACGGCATCTAACAGCAACAACCTATGTGTCAATTGTTATACCAGCACCAGGCTGTTTTAATGACTATGACCATACATTATGTTTTAAAATCAGAAGTATGAGCCCTCCTATTTTGTTCTTTTCTTTCAACATTGTTTTAACTATTAGGGGCCTCTTGCCATTTCATAAAGTTGAGGATTGGGTTTTCTATTTCTGTAAAGAAGACTATTAGAATTTTTATTGGGATTGCATTGAATCTATAGATTGCTTTGGGTAGTATTGGCATCTTAACAATATTAAGTCTTCCAACCCATGAACATGGAATATCTTTCCATTTATTTAAGTCTTCTTTACTCTCTTTCAATAGTGTTTTATAGTTTTCATTGTATAAGTCCTTCATGTCCCTGGTTAGGTTTATTCCTTGGTATTTATTCTCTTAGATACTGTTGTAAATAGAATTGTTTCTCTAATTTCCCTTTCCGATTTCCCATTACTGGTATATGGAAACCCAACTGATTTTTGTTTGTTGACCTTGTACCCTGCTAAGTTCCTCTATCAGCTCTAGAAGTTTTCTTGGGGACTCTTTGGGTGTTCCATAGGGTTTCTTGGCTGCAGTCTTAAGGAAGCAGTTTGTCAGGCCTTTCTGACACAGTGCGGGTTGGATGGGTTCCAAGCACCACCTTGAAGGTTAACAGCCAATGGATGGCTTACACCATCCAGGATCCTCTATTTAGAGAAAAGAGGCATAATGAACACTTAACTTGAGGCTGTGACTGCTTATCTTTCCACCTTTCAAAAGATTCACAATCTTAATACTTCAAAGAAAAAAATTTCTGTTGGCAGATATTTAAGATTCATGTTATCATTTTTTTTTTAGCAGTCCAAGTGCTGTTCACATTAAGTAACCATGGTACTCAGAGGAGTTCAAATAAAATTAGTCTTCTATGTGAGGCATTTGATTCCTAACCAGAAGGCTGGCGGTTCAAACCCACCAGCCACTCCTCAGAAGGAAGATTGGGCAAACCACTTCTATAGTGATACCACCTTGGAAACCCAAAGAGGGGTCCCTATGAGTTGGATCCCACTGGAGGGCAATGACTTTGTGGTTTTCGTTTTTGGTATGTGAGCCCACAGTGTGTCAGGCACTATGAGATTGGTATCTTACTCCCGGTGTTATGATTAGAAAGCTAAGGCCCAGAGAGGGGAAGGGACTGACCCATTGTCACACAGCCTGTCAGTAGACCAACGTGCCCCACAACGCCCCCACCGCCCAGCTCCAAGTACAGGTTGGTGGGTGGGTGGGAGAGGACCCCACTCTGTGCTCCAGGCCCTCCCCTCCGGTTCTCTGTAACAAGATGCCAACTATCTCTTTAAGAAGGAAAGTAAAGACGGGGCCGCTTACGCAGCTGCCGGCGAGCCGCCTACTGGCTCGTCCCTTCAGCCACCTCACCCTCCCCTCCCTCCCGGCAGCCCCAGCCCCGGAGAGCACCAAGCAAACCGCCTCCAGCAGGGGCTCCGGAGAGCAGCTCGGCGGCCCGGCGCGGCCCTGGCAGCCGAAGCCATGGAAGCCTCCGCAGGTGATGACAGGGACCCCGGGGACCTCTGGGCCCACCGCTTAGCCGCGCCCGCTGCTGCCAAGAGTGCCAAGGGCGGAGGGCACGGGTCACGCAGAGCAGCAGATGAACCAGGGACAGGCAGCCTGCCTTCCAGGCTTTCTGGCTGCGGCTTCCCAGCTGCCAGCGGTCGGTGGCTTGGCTGCCTCAGTGTCCCCCGCTCGCGTTCACCCGCCCCTTTCTCTTTTTCCCACCGCCGCAGGTTGCTGATCAGGGCCAGGGCTGCAGCAGCGACTGCAGAGTCGCTGCGCCAGGCGGGGCCGGAGCGGTGCAAGCCGCCGGGGCTGCGGAGGGCGAGTGGACTCAGGTGAGGAGGCCGTGGCGGAGCCTGGGGGCTCAGCGCTGCCCCGGGGCGGGCCGGCGGCGGGCGGGGGCAGCAGCTTGCGACAGACAGCTCAATGCGGTAGAATTCCTCAGAGGGCACCAGCCGAGAAGGGGTTAACCGTGACTCATTCTTACCCCCTCATTCCCCTACATCCTCTACTTCCCCCCCCCCCCAATCACCGTGAAACTCTTAATTAGAGGATGCTGGTTGCATCAGGGAAGATGCCCAAGGTGGGTGATGAGGGGAATTTTGAGACACCTCCTCCCGCCCCCAATTCCTATTTGTCTTCCTTTTCCTTCATTTGGCAAGCATTTAAGCTTCTCTTCTATTCTTCTTGGGGAAGAAGCAAGGGTCCCTGGGTGTGGAAGAAGGATGGAACCCCACACCCACCCAAGGTCAAGTGCCAATGACTGCCTCCTTTCCATCTTCCCCTCTGAGAACAGGGCCCCGCAGTACATCTGGGGGAAAAAATCCTGTGACCCCTGTAGTGGGAGCTCTGAGCCTCCGGCTCCCTGGAGCCTCCATGGAGTGTAATGCCTTCTTTCCACTCCGCAGCAGGGAGCTAGGCTGTTTGGAACACCTTCTCGCCTGGGGAACCCACAGTCCCGTCTTCAGCCTTCTAGGCTGAAGAAAAGGTCTGGTCACATGCTGCCTTTTCCTCTGCCTTCTCCATCCATCTGGTGGTGTGGGATGGGCTGGAGAAGCTCCCCAGAAAAGGATGGTTTCTGCAGGCGAGGTAGTATTCAGAAAGTGCCCAGAGATTGGGGTCCTAGTCTCTTAACTTGCTAGGTGGCCACCAGTAGCCATCTTAAAATTCCTTAGACCTGGGTATCTGTCTGCTTCTCTATTAAATGCAGGAGTTGAATTAGATTCTGTGCACAATTTTAATATAACACTCAAGCAGCTCTTATATGTCACGGGGACCCCTCTACTAAAGCATCCCAGAGCTTAAACTTGAGTCCATGACATAACTGAGGTTTCCTCAGTGGACCTCTTTCAACTCTGGAATTTTTAAGTCCAACATTGACCTTATGGACGCCTCATGAGGCGTCAGACAGTCCTATATTGGCATCCCTTTGCCATCTCTGGGGTGACCTTTGTCAAGTTACTTCCCCAAGCTTCCGTTTCCTCACCTGTAAAACTGGGAAGAGGGATCCATGCCTTTGAGGGCTGATGTGAGGATTAAATGAGCAACATGGAAGCACCCAAAATAGTACTTGTGCTTGGCACATAGTAGGTTCTCAGGGAACTGCCTTCCTCAGTTCCCCTTCTGCCTTCAGATTGCCCAAAGGGCTTCTGGACCGCCACCACACCGCCACCACATTGCCCAAAGGGCCTCTGGACTTGGGAGATGACTGGGCAAGAGAGGACGGGATGGCTACTACAGTTCTCTTCTCCCGGCTCCCTCCATCCCATCCCACTGGTCTCATCCACATCCCTGCTGATGGAGGTCCTGCCAGTGGATAATGAAGCTGGAGTGTATTAGACAATTGAACTGAGGGCCTAGGCAGCAACCAGGAGACATAGACATTTCCACTGCAAGAGCTGTGACATCATGCTAGAAAATGATGGTCCCAAGGAGGCACATACAGCCCAGCAGTGGGTTTGGAAAATCCTGGCATCTGAGAACACAGTCTCTAGGGAAACAGAAGCAAGAGAGTCTCCAGTGCAGGCAGAGAAGCGACCGAGCTTCCACATTTAACACGAATCTCCCTGCTGCTCCCTTGTCCTGAGTCTCTTACTGCAATCTCCCTGAGTCAAGGCGGTCAGGTTTTTGGTACCTGTCTTCTTTATTCTTTATCTTTCCCTCCTCCTGTCCTTTTCCTCCTAGCACCCAGTCTTTCTTGTTCCAGTTTACTCCATGGATATATTCTACCTCTTGACAGCATGGTAGAGGAGTTTCCTTATAGGGTGGGGCAGGACATCTTGTTGCTGCATCATTTTGACCAAAAGAGGTTGTTGTGTCCCCTCCCCCTGTGGCCTGCAGACCCCATTAGACTGTGAGCTCCTCCCTGGCAGAGGCCCTGTCTTTTTCCTCTCTGTGTCTCCAGCACATGGCTAGACACAAAGTAGGTCCTCAATAAGTATCGAATCAAACAAGTTTGAGGGAATTACATCCCTGAGCCAACAAGGTTAGGGAGAAACTCTGCAGGACTGTGGTGGTGATGTAGGTAAGAGAACCTTTAAGTGGGGGGCACTGTGGAGGCTGTTGGTTGCCGTTATTACTGCTATTACTAATACTGTTATTATTGCTGTTGCCAGTGGCTACCAGATGTGTTGCCTGTTTCTCCGGTCAGGGCTGAAAGCACCAGATGTGCTTGGGAGGGTGGTGATGTTGGCAAACAGAGACCCAGATGGTGCTGGCTGGTGTAAGATCACCGTGAAGGGAAGAGGATTGGGAAGGGAGTGATTATAGCCACTTGCTCTGTTTAGGAAAGAGGAGATAGATAAAGAGAATCAAATGGGTCAAAATGGATGTGCAGTGGAAAGTCAGGAGACCCAGATCCCAGACCCCGTTCTACCACTGGCTCATTAGGTGACCTTGGGACAACAGGCCTCCTCTGAGGACTCCAGTGGCCCCATCTATACAGTGCAGGTCCTGCCCTGGATGATGTCTAAAGCCCCTTCTGGTCCTGGGACAACTATTATCATTATTATCAACATCATTTGTGGAGTACTAGATGATTGCAGGGAGCTCTGGTGGCATAGTGCCTAAGGCACTTGACTGCTAACCAGAAGGCTGGTGGTTCAAACCCACCAGCCACTCCTTGGAAGAAAGGTTGAACAGTCTACTTCTGTAGTGACACTGCCACAGAAACCCAAGGAGGGGTCGCTATGAGTCGGGTCTGTCTCGAGGGCACATAACAACAACAACAACAACTGCTCTGCAGGAGAAAGATGAGGCAGGTTGCTTCTGTAAAGATTACAGTCTTGGAAACCATATGGGTCAGTTCCATATAGGATCTCTATGAGCCAGAATCTATTTGACAGTACACAACAACAACAACAGACCATTCCTACCTCACGTGATCCTCATAACAAATGACACCTAATTTAAAGATAAGGAGACTGAGGCTTAAAGAGATTAAGTGACTTGCCCATGATTGCACAGCAGGAAGTGGAGGAAATATTATCCTACCTAGGTCTCTGACTTGGAAAAGCATGCTCTCCTGAAGGTCTTGCTGCCTCCCATACCCATACTTTGCTGCCGTAGCTGTGAGTTGTCTGTGCACTTGTATGCACGCATAGGTGTTTAGAGAAGGGAAAGTGGTGAAAGATTCTTGATAAGAGATTGGGGATTTCCCCGGTGATAGCTGCAGGGGACTTGCTGGGTTGGAGGGAGTGTGATTGTCCGGGGTAGTAGGTGTGCTTTACTGAGGAGAGTGGCTGGCAAACAGACCCCACTTTTTGAATGCTTCTTATGCTCACTTATTTATACCCCGTCCCTTCATGTTGTTGCTGTTGAGTGATGTTGAGTCAATTCCCACGCATAGTGACCCTATGAGATAGAGTAGAACGGCCTCATAGGGGTTGCTTGGCTGTAATCTTTAGGGACACAGACTGCCAGGTCTAACTCCTGCAGAGCTTCTGGGTGGGTTTGGGTCACCACCTTTCCAGTTAGCAGCTGAAGGCTTAACCGTTGTTCCATCAGGGCGCATTCCTATTATGTAGGCACTATTCTTTTACCCTAGGAGCTCTGGTGATGTAGCGCCTAAGGCATTTGACTACTAACCAGAAGGCTGGCGGTTCAAACCCACCAGTCAGTCCTTGGAAGGAAGATTGGGCAATCTACTTCCGTAGTGGGTAACCCAAGGAGGAAACCTGAGGAGGGGTTGCTATGAAGTGAAATAGGCCAGGCACAGTATAGTTACTGGCCCAAAGTTACAGAGCTAATCTTTTGGAGAACCTGGAAAAGCACTGGACTGGGTGCTGGTCAAAGGGGTTGCTTTTAGTTGGATTCCTACCACTGACTGAGTATCCTTGGGTAAGCCAGTTTCCCTCTAAGAGTCAGTGTTCCTATCCCTCAAATGGACTGGAATCATCCACTGGCTTTAAAAGGCCTAAATGCAACCTCGTCCCAGTATAGGGTTCTGCAGAAGATATTTTGTCTTATTAAACAGTGATCAACATTTGTTAATTGTTTATTAGCCAGGCCCAGGGCTAAGTGTTGGGAGTACAATAAAGAACAAGAGGTGATCTGTAGTTTCAGGAAGCTCTTGTCAAGCAGAAGGAGGCATATACCTAAACATGTGTGAAAAATGTCTAGGGTCTATGACACATACTGAGATAGGGTATAATGGGGGGATGGTCTTCCTGCTTGTGGGTCAGGAACACTTTAGAGAGATAATGCTGTTGTCATCTCCTTGTTTTCATATTGAGTTTGCATATAATAATAATAATAGTAAGATTCAACCCAGCTCTGGATATTTCCAAACTCTTCTAAAGACTTGTTGGCTCCTGGGCTCAACAACCCAGAAGGTGCCCACAGAGTCTGAGGGATCATCCAAGCTCACTTGTGGCATAGTCCCTGCCGAACTACCCATTTGTTCCAGGTGGACTAGAATCTTTCCTGTTCTTAGAAGCTTCTAGAGGCAGGACTCTGAAGTTACGCTTGGAAAGCCTGTCTGATGTCTATAACCACCCAATAGACTGAGAGAATTCTTCCTCATGTCTATTCTCAGTGTTCTATTTGTCTGGAGAGATGCCCAACACCTCAAAAGGTGAAGGTGTTTACCCAAGATTACTCAGCAGGGCTGAAATCATAGCTGGTGTAACGGGGATTGCAGTTCTGAGTCATGTGGGGTCTTTTTACATCCAGGCCCACTGGAGCCCAAGGAGCCATTTCTTTATTTGTTGGGCAGTTGGGGCTGGAGAAAGGTTGGATGTGGGTGATATGGAACAGGGGCTCAGGAGCAGAGAGGTTTTTTGTTCCCAGGCTGCTTTGCACCTCTTACTAGACAGATATTTATGAAGTGTTTGTC